GGGCTAAGCAGTGTTTAAAAGAATACAGTTTCTGTGTTGTTATTTCTGGTGTAAAGCTAGCCTTGTGGGAGCCAGGCAGGACGAAAAGCAGGCCCGCAGCTCCTTCAACACATGGGGGAGGCATGTATCTACAACATGCCAGAAAATTAATATATTAGGAATCGTTAAAAATTCATTCAGAGTAGTTCATATTAAAACTAATTTAGTGCCAGGCAGTGGTGGTGCACACCTTTAATCCCAGCACTCAGGAGGCAGAGGGAGGCAGATCTCTGTGAGTTCGAGGCCAGCATGGTCTATAAGAGCTAGTTCTGGGACAAGCACTAAAGCTACAGAGAAACCTTGTCTCGAAAAAAAAGAAAAGAAAAACTAACTTTTTTTTTTCATTTGGTCAGATATAACTTGACAAAATAAAATCTCCCCAAAATTAGGATTGGGGAAGGGTTTTGTTTCTGTCTTTTTAGGAGAATAAAGGTTTCAGCTAAGGAATCCAAAGATGACTGGAAAAATGAGACATGTGAAGAAAAAAGGCAAATCAGAAAAAAAGTCTCAAGGAAAAGAGTAAATTGACCTATTACATTTCCAACATGATAAAATTTCATAACTCTTCCCAATGTTTTTTTTTCTGCTGTTCTCTACAGACATATAATGCAAATAGTCCTTTTGTAGTCCCTGTCCAGTTAAAGACCTAAGCTGGCTGTGGAGTTGGAATGTGGCTCTCTCCTTCTCTAAACCCAAGCATGCTTATTAAAGTGAAATCCAAAATCTCTGTCTCATGTCAGAAGAGCCACCTGACATAGGACACAAGAAAAACAAATATTTATGGACTATTATATTGCCACTAATCTCATAATCCTTTGTCTTTATACTGACTCTTTAACAGCTTTTCTTACAGTATAAGATTTATAAGATGAAGCCAGGCGGTGGTGGCACACGCCTTTAATCCCAGCACTCGGGAGGCAGAGGCAGGCGGATCTCTGTGAGTTTGTGACCAGCCTGGTCTACAAGAGCTAGTTCCAGGCAGGCTCCAAAGCTACAGAGAAACCCTGTCTTGGAAAGCCAAAAACAAAACAAAACAAAACAAAACAAAACAAAACAAAACAAAACAAAACAAAACAAAACAAGAGTTATAAGATATATATATATATATATTAAATTTTTTGTCATGAAATTAATGGTCACATAGAGTACTAATTCTAGAAAAAGGTTTCATCTACCTCCTGTACATGATTTCAGGTTTGAGTCTCTATAGTTTTCTACAAAGAATCATGAGCACGCCTAACAGTGACCTTGGAAGTCTTCATAAGGAGAATAGGGCCCCACAAGGGCAATCCCTCCAGGACTATGATAACACCACTAAGTTGAAAAACACCACCTAAGGATTGGTTTTAGACTACAAACTGCTCAGAACAATTCTGAGGTGACTACTTGAGATGATACAGCCTCACAGACTACTCTAGCCAGGACTCGAGACAAGCCCTGCACTTTTTCATTATGCAGAGACTAAACAACAAATGATACAGCTACCTCTACCAGGACTTGACAATTAATCCTTTTTTTTTTCTTTTCAGGATCCCCTAGAGATGCCATCACCCCCAGAAAGCAGGAAGTAAATTTAAGAATACATTGTCCACATTCCCATAAGGCGGGGTGGGTGGTTTTTGGTCATTCAATGGGTTATGGGTATTTGTCATTGTTTAGGATGGTTTGGTTACAAGTTGTTAGGGCCAGGAGGAAATTTGAATAAAGGAAATTAGATTCAAGGTTCTTGTTTTGAAAAGAAAAAAAGGGGGATATAGATACGATAAGACAAAAAGTTAGATTATTGAGTCTACTTTTAAAAAGCAACTACTAGTTTTAAATGTTTTACATTGGATTGGATGTTTGTATATTGTATATGAATTTTGTATATTGATATAAATTTGAAATTAATTTTGTTAGAACATACTGTACATACATTTCTACTCTTGTTCAAGGTATTGTACCTATACAACTCATTTAACAATGTAATGCAAATGGCTACTCCATGAAAATTATTATTACCAACTGTTTAGAATAACAAGGAAATGCAGGTTAGTAATTAATCACCTATTACAATCGAACTTGTAGTCACATTAGGTATGTTTTCAAGGGTAAACGAAGATATATTTTAGACAGACAGGTCATCTTCTAACACTTCAGAGATCTACAGAATGTGCCATTTAAGATGTTTTAATAACACAGGTTCTTTTCTCTTTTTTATGATAATGAGATATGTCTGCTCCTGGCAGCACCAGTCTACTTCAGAGAAAATGATGGGCATTGCAGACTCCACATGAAGTTTATTTTCTTTTTAGCAAAAGTAAGCCACTGGTCAAGACAGTGCCCTTGCCTCAACTGCTGACAGTATGCTGTCCTAATCAGACAAGCAGGACACAAAAGAAATTGACTGCCAAATGTTGTCAAGACAAGAGCCCTTCACAATATCCTGCTTCACAGAAAAGTCTGTTGGACATGCTAGGCCTGTAGGCCAAAGATGGATGCCCCAGGGTTACAAAGGAACTTTGGGTGACTGTCCAGGCAGCCAACTGTTTCTGTCATTTCTCACTTTTTTCCCTTTTTTCTTTTCTCTCTCTCTTTTTTTTTTATTTCTTTATTTTTATTTATTTATTTATTTTTTGATTTTCAAGACAGGGTTTCTCCCTTTTTGGTTCCTGTCCTGGAACTAGTTCTTCTAGACCAGGCTGGCCTCAAACTCACAGAGATCCGCTTGCCTCTGCCTCCCCGAGTGCTAGGATTAAAGGCGTGCGCCACCACCGCCCAGCCATTTCTCACATTTTTTTGGAAGTCACTTGCTGGCATTTCCCGCTGCTTACTCAGTCAATATTACTTCCTCTTGCCTCTGAGGGAATTGAAGATTAGACAGTTACAGTTTTCCTTGTTTACCAGATGCAAAAATCAAGTTATGATAGAAAGTAAATTAGGTACTTTGGACTCACCTAGATAAGATAAATATGGGATATTTTCTCTGAATTTGTCAAATGCAAATACTAGATATTATTGATGTATTTATTGCCTGTATATATTATATATAGTTATTGTACTTATTGTATATAGTTTTTCTTATATTAGTTATAGTTAGCCTTCTTTTTTATTTTAGATAAAAAGGGGAAATATAGCAGTATATTCTTTGTGTTTTAATAAATAAAGTGCCTGAAGATCAGAGTGCAAAGCAGCCATACTAATGAGTCATACAGGCCAAGGGAGTAGTTGCACACACCTTTGATCCCAGGACTCCACAGCCACAGACAGGCAGACAGATCTCTGTGAGTTCAAGGCCACCCTGGGCCAAGATCGAATCTATCTAAAAGAGAACAGAGCTCACACAAAGGTGATTCCAGCATTTGGGATCACATGCCTTTAATCCCAGCATTAGGGCGGTAGAAACAGGAGAGATATGGCTGGGCAGAGAGGACTATAAGAGGAGGAAGACGGGAACTCAGTGGAGTCTTCAGGATTTACGGAGACAGGATCTTGCCCATTTTTGGTCTGAGGTAGAGGGAAAAGCCAGTGGCTGACTGCTTTGCTTTTTTTTTTTTTTTTTTAAGTATTTATTTATTTATT